CAGGGGCCACACGTGTTGGCCACACCGTTTGCATTCAGCAAGTCCTGCTTGGGCTTCCAGACTGCCCCAGCTCTTCCTCGGAACACCTCTCATTGTGAAGATTTCTGCAGGAGCTCACTTTGTCTCCCCCAAGTGGATTTCCCTATGACCCCCAGAGCCTTGAGAAAGGTCTAACTGTCCCCCGCAACCACCCCCCATACCGGTCGCACCCCAGTCCTAGTTGAGGAGATGGAGCCCCTTACTAAGAGCCCTTGCAGAGGCTCATATGGGCGGGGGGCAGAGGAGAGACTCTGGAGTCTGGGGCACTTGGGCAAGACCCAAAGGAGGAGGTGGACTTTGACCAGGTTCTGCAAGGGTGGGGAGAACCTGCCTAGAGGAGAAGGAGAGATGAAGAAAGCCTGGGGCTGTCTCCCCCTCACCTTCTGGTGTGGGGTCAGTGTCTCAAAGGCTACATGGGCCAGTGCCTCCCTGGGATGGGAACTGGAGGGGTCTCCTTGCCTCTCTTAGAAGCAGGGGCTGGGGGCTACTGGCACGGGAGGCTGGTACTATGGTGCTTAGTCCAGTATTTTGCTCCCCGTGGGTGCCCAGTAAATAGCACTGGCAGGAAGTTTGGGGCCCTGCATTTAGTCATCAGGAATAATGGTGACAATGGCCAACATTTATTGAGCATTTACTATATGCCTGGCACTGTTTTAGGCACTTTACATGTCTGATCTCATTTAATCCTCAAATCAGCCCTATGAAGTAGGTGCTATTGTTATTGCCATTTACAGAGAAGGAAACGGAGGCTTAGAGAACTTAAGTAACCTTCTCAGGGTCACTGTTAGTAAGTGGTGGGCCCGGGATTCCTACCTAGGAGGTGTGGTTCCAGAGGCAATGCTATCGATACCTTATGTGCCCACTGTCTCTTCCTTTGTGCTCTGTGCACCAGGGGATCAAGGTCCTGAGCCTCACCAACTCCTCTCAGTGCATTTCCACCTGTAGGCCATCTTGATTGTGGTTGCAGCCCTGGGCCCTGGTCAACAACCCCTGCTCTCTAGGATGGACCCCTGGGGCTGCTCTGTCTCTGTGACCCAGTCAAAATTAGGGGCAATTCTTTTATTATTATTATTATCCTTACCTGAGGACATTTTTCCATTTTTTGTTCAGGTAGAGTGGGAGGGAGAGAGAGGAACAGAGAGAGAGAGAGAAACATCGACGTGAAAGGGACACTTCGAGTGGCTGCCACCCGCACGACCAACCAGGGCTGGGGACAAACTGCAACCGAGGTACGCACCCTTAGCGGGAACCGAACCCGGGTCTCTCGGGACCGCAGGTCGATGCTCTAACCGCTGAGCCAAACCGGCCAGGGCTAGGGGCAATTCTTAATCCCCATTCTCTGTCTCACACTTGCCAAGCCCAAACCTCATCCCTGGGCTCCCTGTGAACGTCCCACCTACACGCCTCTTCTTCCCTGGGGTCATTCCTTGACTCCCTTACTGCCTCCCGGCTCCTAGGTAGAATTATTTTCCTCCTAGGGACTATTTGTTACTCCGTTAGCCCTTAGTGCAACCCTCTTTCAAGACTTAGAGAAAGCAGAATGCCTTCCACCCCCTCCCTGCCAGCCCTGAGTCCAAGAGAAACTGCTATCATCACCTACTCCAAAACGTGTCTGGAAAGAATGGCTTTTTTTTTTTTTTTTTTAATTAAAAAAGAATTATACACACACACACACACACACACACACACACACTTATTTAACTCAATCCCCATCCGAAGATATGTTTATTGATTTTAGAGAAAGAGAGAGAGACATCGATTGGTTGCCTCCTATATCAGACCAACGATCAAACCCACGACCTAGGTATGTGCCCTGACCAGGAATCAAACCTACAACCTTTCTGTGTATGAGATGATGCTCCAACCAACTAAACCACACTGGCCAGGGTAAGGGTGGCTTTTTCAACAACTGGTGCTGGGTCAACTAGATAAGCATATGGAAAAATGCTGACTCTAACTTCACACCATTCACAAGGGTCAACTCCACATGTCCTGAAGACCTTTTATTTTTTATTTTATTTATTTTTCTATCTGCACTGAGGACATTTTTTTTATATTTATGTTCAGATGGAGCAGGAGGAAGAGGGGGAAGAGAGAGAGAGAACATCGATGTGAGAGAGACACATCAATTGGTTGCCACCCACACGACCCCAACTGGGGCTGGGGACAAATTGCAACCGAGGTACGTGCCCCTAGTGGGAACCAAACCCAGGACTCCCTGGTTCGTGGGCCGACGCTCTAACTGCTTAGCCAAACTGGCCAGAGCCCTTTATTTATTATTATTATTTTTCATTGTTTTTTAGAGAGAGGAAGGGAGAGGGAGAGACAGAAACATTAATGAGAGAGAACATTGCCTGTCTCCTGCGTGCCCCCCACTGGGGATTTGACCCACAACCTGGGCATGTGCCCTGACCCGGGAATCGAACCAGCGACTCTTGGTGCATGGGCTGATGCTCAACCACTGGGCCACACCTGCCGGGCTCCTGAAGACCTTTTAGATGAAAAACTAGAACATCTTGCCCTCGCCGGTTTGGCTCAGCGGTTAGAGCATCGGCCTGTGGTCCGTAAAGACCCGGGTTCAGTTCCCGCTAAAGGCACGTACCTCGGTTGCAGTTTGTCCCCGGCCCTGGTTGGTTGTGCGGGTGGCAACCACTCGATGTGTCCCTTTCACGTCGATGTTTCTCTCTCTCTCTGTCTCTCTCTCTCTGTTCCTCTCTCTCCCTCCCACTCTACATGAACAAAAGATGGAAAAATGTCCTCAGGTGAGGATGATAAAAAACAAAACAAAACAAAAAAAACCTAGAACATCTTGATGACTGAGTTGGTGCCCAATGTTTTGTCCCTGTCATGTAGCCAGAGGCGTGTCCTTGCAGGATCAGTGGAGCAGGTGGGAGCTGCCCAGGGGTCTGTGGGAAGCCTGATGGGTGAGTGGGGTTCAGCCTCTGGGTGGTGAAGCTGGGTGTTCTCTAGGCAGGAAGGACCCATGGGACTTTTCTCCTCCTGGGAGCTGCACACTTGACCGCCAGGGGGTGCTGCTGGAGCGGCCCTCCCCAGGAATGTGGCAGAGACTTAGGAAAGTACCAATTACTTAAACTTGCAGCTATTCGGGTGACCAGGTGATCTAGTAAAATATGGGATATGTTGGGGTTCACCAGTCTTCTCGGTGCTGACCCATGGTCAGAGGATCCCCCCAGGCTCCTCTCTGTCCGTTCCTTGCCTGTCCCCCTCTACTCTAGAGGAGGTGCTGCACCTTTGACAGTGAGCTCAGAGGGCTCAGCCAGTCCCAAGTATTGCACCAACAGCCTTGCCAAAGCCTTCAGAGACCAGCCAACGCAGAGAAGCAGGCCCAGCCTGACAAAGCTCTGACCCAGCCACTGGTGGGTTGGGGCTGGCCTCCTTGCTGATGGTTTGGGATCAGGGAATCTGAAGTGTGTCCCGACCCCTCCAAGCCAGAAGCCACAGCAGTTCCTTCGCACCAGGTCTGCAAGAGCCTGTCCCACCTCTGCTTCCTGTTTAATTGGACAGTTTTCAGCCAGGCTGGAGTCAGCCTGGAATCCCAGATCCCCACTGAGACCCCAAATCTCATTGTCCATCTTCTGGGGACCCCTCTCCCATGCTCCACATTTGGCAGAGCACTCTCCCCCCATGATAGCTGCTTGGGATCCCTGCTTCTCCCCCACCCCAGGTCAGACCTCCTGAACACATATAAGGTCCAGCTCCTGCCTCTTGGGGCCAAGATATAACCTGCTGTGCTTCTGCTAGATCCAACTGATTGCTCGCCCACCTGCCCCACCCTTTCTCTGCACACTTTCTTTGTATTTAGAGGTTCACTAATCTTATGCTGTCCAAAAGCCCAAAGCTTCACTACAAAGGGCCTTTGCAGCCCAGGGACATTTTTATGCCCCAATGCACTGTTCTGAAGCTTTCCAGCATATTCTTCCTGGCTTATGGTCTCCTTCTGGCATATCTGAGCCACTCTCTCATTACCCAAATCAGGAGCCAGGGTCAGGGCCGGAATCCATGGAAATGGACCGCAGGTCTGCAGGGCCCTCACTGTCTGTGGTCCCGTGAGCTGTGCTTCAGGCTGCTGCTGGCACCTCTGGCGCTCTGTCAACAGTACAGGCGCCTGGCCCCTCAGAGGACAGCTCTTAACCCTCCCTCACAGTCCCTCTGTGCTCACCGTGCCACAGGTCACTGTCCCTGTGAAGGCGAGGGACATCTAGCTAGCTGGCAAACATTTCTGGAGCCGCCTCCACACCCTGCTTCTTTGCAGCAGTTGGTTCTGGATTTAGATGGTGAAGCTAAATAATTTACATTTCATACTTAACACTCTTAGACACATAACTTAAGAGCTGGGTCCTCCAAAGTCCCAGAAAGGGAAACATTGAGACCACCACATCTCCTTTTCTCAGTCATTGTCCTGGGTGTTCCCATCCTACTGATCCGGTGGTCTGGAAGGATTCTTAGGTCTTGGAGAGGCTTTCAGACTGGCTTGTCTACCAGTGACAGGTGCTGATTGAAACTCTCGATTTGAGCAGCTCCACTCTTTGGGTTTAATTGGCAGTCGGAGCCTCCCTCAGCCCTTGACCTGGGCAGCCCCGAGGCGAAGCAGAGCGAAGCCTGGAGGAAGGAAGTTTCTGCGATTCAGATTTGTCTCCCAAGCGCACTGCCCACTTCCTCTGACCCAGCCGAGATCTGAATGAGGGCGAGGAGGCGCGGAGCCGGCCAGGGCACCCAGGCGAGCCCGGCCCGGCGGGCTGCGGCGTCTGACCTCGGTACCCGAATGCCCGCGGCTCGGCGGCGGAGCCGCACTGCGCCCGGCGGCCCGGGGGCCCAACGCCGCGCCCCTAGGCCTCAGCGTGCCGCGTCACCGGGAGACCGAGGAGATTGGGTAATAGCAGGGGCGGGGCGTGCAGAGCGAGGGGGCGGGGCTCCAAGGCTCCACCCCTGACCCGGGCCTCGGACGAACTTTCAGCCCCGCGCTGCTCGAGTGCGCCGAAGCCGGGAAACGCTGACATGGCCATGACTTTGGGTTACTGGGACATCCGAGGGGTGAGAGAGGGGTCCGCCCGGGAGGGTGGGGCCATGCTGAGCAGCCGGGGCCGGTTTTATCTGGAGGGTCCTCAGGTCTGGCAGGACCCGGCCCCACCCCGCCGCCTGTCCGCAGGTGGGCGAGGGCGCGGGCCCCTGGCGTTGTCAGTGTGTTGGGGGTGGGTAGTTGGAGCAGAGGGAGCCCCGAGCGGGGCCCCTGGGTCCGTGACCTGTGTCCGCCTTCCCTCCCAGCTGGCACACGCCATCCGCCTGCTCCTGGAGTACACAGACTCCAGCTATGAGGAGAAGAAGTACACGATGGGGGACGGTAATGGCATTCTTGTCGCGTTCCGACTTCGGCCCGACTCCTGCTGATTTGGTACCAAGTACCCGTGCCCTGGCCACCTGTGCTCATCTATGCCGCCCCCCACAGGCTGAGCAGGGCGCTGCCTCTTCCTTACCCTCTGGGGGTGGGCCTTGGCCTTCCAGGCGAGACCAAGACCGGAGAGGGGGTTGGAGAGGGCATTGCGGACCCCGTGTCTGCAAGTGCGACGGCTTCCCGGAGGGTTTGCCCACACTTGGGAAGCCTTATCCATGTGGGTTCCGGAGACTTTTAAGCGTTCTTTCCCCCACATCTGAATGAGGGACTTAATGCTCAGATTTCAGACTCACCTGTTCAGAGGCCTGGCCACTGACTCCTTGGTAGGATGCGGGGAAAGAGGGCTGGGCTCAAGGGCTGTGGTTTCACTCCATCTTCTCCATCGCAGCTCCCGACTTTGACAGAAGCCAGTGGCTGAGTGAAAAATTCAAGCTGGGCCTGGACTTCCCTAATGTAGGTGCAGGGGATGGGGACAGTGGGTGTAAGTGAACTGGTCTCTACTCTGAGATCTCCTTTCCCAGCTTTGGTGGGGGTCTCAGGATCTGGAGGCCTCTGCTCAGCCCCTCAGCTTCCTGGTTCTTGTCACTGCTTTTCTCCGACGCTCTTTGTTCCAGCTCATTCTTTACTTTCATAGTATATTTGCTTGGTGACTACTGTGTGCCAGACACTGAGAGCCCGGGTGTCATCTCTGCCCCAAATGCAAGGAGGGGTTTCCGGGGAGCCTGTGGCCTACTGACCTGGCCCTATTCCCCTTCCAGCTGCCCTACTTAATTGATGGGGCTCACAGGCTCACCCAGAGCAACGCCATCCTTCGATACATTGCTCGCAAGCACAACCTCTGTGAGTGGGTCTGGGGTGGGTGCAGGGGCAGGCGGCCTTGCCCCTGGGCTGGCTGAAGTGGGATGCTGACGGAGAGTCTGCTGTGTGGCTGCAGGTGGGGAGACGGAAGAAGAGAGGATTCGCGTGGATATTTTGGAGAATGAGGCTATGGACACGTCAAATCAGTTGGCCATGGTCTGCTACAGCCCTGACTATGTGAGTTGCCTTCTGCTGAGCTGGACTGGCCAGGCTTTGAAAGGAGCTTGGACACTTTTATCTACTCTGGTCCTATTTGCCATTTGAACTCCTGGGAGCTTCTGACCCTCCAAGCTGGTCTCTATACTGTCAGCAGAGTGACCCACAAAACCCCCAACTACCTCAAATAAAATCTGTAACTCAGTTTCCTTCAATCTTAGGATAGAGTGCAGATGCCCCAGGGTGGAAGTTCAGTTTCTAACAGTGTGTCTAACTTGGTATCCCAGCACCGCCTCCTTGACACCTTTGGGCATCAGCACATTTTCCTAGGAGGCATTCGGGGTACCCACAGGGCCTCTGTGCCTGTCCCTTCTTCCTTTCAGCCTCTCAGATTCTCCCCGTCTGTCCAGAAAGTGCTCAAGTGTCCATTCGTTCACCCACCAGCTGCATGACCTTCCCTAGAACATTTTAATTCATCACTTCTTCCATTCCACCTGAATTCCGAGGCCAGGGATCTGCCAGGTTCTCACAGCACTCCTGGGTCTGACCCATGGGAGGGTGTTTGGAGATGAGTGGAGACACGTTCAGGGAAAAGGTGGTATTTCTCTGCCTTCCCATTTGCGTGTCACAGATGGGAGGTGGTACCCAGTAGGAGTCTAATGAACAGAGGTTGGATGAAATTATATCCTGGGCACTGACCCAGGTTCCCTTGGGGGCCGTGGCTGCTCATCTGTGGCAGCTGGGGGTCAGGAACAGCCCCGGGAGGCCTGCCTCTCTGCCCAGGGAGTCTGTCTGTAGGTGGTGACAGCTGTTTTGTGCCTCAGGAGAAAGTGAAGCCTGAGTTTTTGAAGGTGCTTCCTGAAAAGATGAAGCTCTTCTCGCAGTTCCTGGGGAAGAGGTCTTGGTTTGCAGGGGACAAGGTAAGGGGAAGGCTTTGGGGTGGGGACTTGACATGTTTCCAGTTTCAGGCTTTGGTGCCCATTCATTTTTTGCCTGTCTGCAGCTCACCTATGTGGATTTCCTGGCTTATGACATCCTAGACCTGCACCGCATATTTGAGCCCAAGTGCCTGGATGCGTTCCCGAACCTGAAAGACTTCATCACCCGCATAGAGGTGATTCCACCAGTCCCCTTACTATTTTATCTCTTTTGTGTTCACTCTTATCCTTGATGGTTTGCTAGTCCCGGAGCTAAAATGAAGCTCAACTAGCATTCATTGAGGACTTGCTTAATGCCAGGATCTTTGATCAGCATGTTACATATACTGGGTTCTATTTAATCTTTAAAACATTGCTACATGGTAGAAGAGTTTTCACCTCCCTTTTACAGATGATGACATGAGGCTGACAGGGGGAGGCATTTGCTCAAGGTTGCAGAGCGAGTGCAGGCTGTGCTGGGCTCCCAGTCAGCGTTGGCTCCATGGGCAGCAGCCAGTGGCTCCCCCTTTCCTGTGCCAGAAAGAGGAGCTCAGGTCCTTCTCCAGCCTGCAGCCACTGCTCCGGACATTGTGGATGAAGCAGAACATTCGGGAGTTTGTATGTAGCAGAATTAGTAGAGTTGAGCCACGGTAGTACTGATATGAAGCCCGAAGCCTCTCTCCAGACATCTTTGCAGAATGGGATCCCTTCTGGGCAGTGCTGAGATTTCTGGGCTGTTGCCGGTGCTGGGATCTGAGAACACATGTCGGTGCCCCTGCACAGGGTTTTATGTTGATGTCTTCTGTGGTGGGCACATCCCTCCCCTGCTCCCTCCCTTTCCTTCTTCCCCGCAGTTATGTTTTATCCAACATACTGTCTCAGAGATGAGGTGGTGCATTTATTTTCAGTCATGTTCACTGGCGTGCCCTTCTCCTCTGTGTGAGGCACTGTGTCAAACACAGAGAGTGTGCAAAGGTGACCCAGCCATGGCACACCCCCTCCTGGGTGTCAGTGCAGCTGGAGAAGTACAGGAGTCCCAGCTGTGTGTACTGCGGTTCCACCTGGGTGGTGGAGGTGCACAGCCTAGACCTCACCTCACAGCTCATCACTAGTCACCCGTGGTCAACTCACAGTGGATCAGTAAAGTCGGCTTCATTACAGATTTGGGAATTTGAGGCATTATTAGTCCAAGAAGTTTTCAGCTTCCCCACTCCCCATCAAGAGAGATCAGCTTTGTCGGCTAGTTTTTGTTTTTTTGTTTTTTTTGTGGTACGTGCCCCTAGTGGGAACCGAACCCGGGACTCTCTGGTCCACAGGCCGACGCTCAACCGCTGAGCCAAACTGGCCAGGGCTGTCAGCTAGTTCTTATCTACTCTGGTTCTGGTCCCGGGTGATCAGCCTGGGATATGATGCCAGAGCTGGGATGACTGACTGGCTGGGAGGGATGAGGGACAGCTGTGGGCTGTAGTCTGGCCTGTGGGGGCCAGGCCTTGGTTATAGGCGGTCCCAGGACCTTTGAATCCTGGAGAAGGCCTAGTGAGATTGGGCTCAGGAACCAGGCCAAACAATTGGACTTTCTCCTTTAAGTGGACTCCTTAGGCCCTGGCCTGGCATTCTTGCTCCACATCCCCCTATCAGCTTTCATCCCTGTTTTGCTGAGTCATTGGGTGAGATCTGGCCTCTTGTGCAAGCTGCACAGGCACATTCTGAGCCCCTTTGTTCTCCCTCAGAGGGAGGCCAGGAGCCTGTCTGTACAGACTGGGAGGGTCAAGGCCTCCTGTGTGGGAGGGAGGAGGGGAGTGCAGCAGAAAGAGCACAGATGGGGGAGAGAGCCAGGCTGCCTTCCAGCCCTTTCCACTAACTAGCAGTGTGACATGAGGAGGGGGCTTCAGCTGTGTGTGCCTCAGTTCCCTTGTGAAAATGGTGGTAGACCAACCTGTTTTGTAGGCAGTGGTGCGGAGGCTGTAAACCTGTATCCTGGTTTCTAATGGATATAAAGCACCTGGCAGAGTTTAGAGTGTCATGTGGTAACTTACTGAGCTATCACACCAGTTGCAGGGAATTGTAAGAGTTAACTTACAGAGCTGGGCACCCCTGGAAGACTGTCTTATGCCCCCACAGTTGACCCCACAAGGAAGTGTTGCCTGGATCCTGAACTTGGCGTGTCTGAAGTGGGGCTGTGTGAGCCCAGTTGTGCAGCAGACCTTGAGATCTGGTCTTCTTTTTGCACCCTCAGGGCCTGAAGAAGATCTCTGCCTACATGAAGTCCAGCCGCTTCCTCCCAACCCCTATTTACACGAAGATTGCTGTGTGGGGCAACAAGTAGGGCCTGTAAGTCCAGTAGATGGCAGCAAAGAATACATGGGGCCCTGGAGAAAGCTGGCCCTCCCTGGACTCATGGAACCAGGTGTCTTACTCTTTTCTCCTATTCTTTCCTTCACCCACACTCAGATCCTATTTGGTGCCCTTTTCTTTCCCAATCCCAGTTCACCCAGGATCTTAAAGCTCTCCAGCATTCCTTTGCTCAGTGAAGTCTCCCCCTGACACTGTCCTTCCTGCACTAAAGCCAACAAGACCTACCTTCCCCACACTGATTGCTCTGCTCTCAGGAGCCCGACTGGCATGTGAAAATGTGCTGAACATCATTAGATATTGAAGAACTTATGAATTCAGTTGGATTCTATTACATACCCACATAGGAAAAGAAATAAAAGGATGGACAACTGTTAATTTATGGAGTCACTGGAACTGTCATTCATTGCTGGTGGCACAACCACTTTGGAATACCAGCATATCCATGGAATTAAATGTACATCAACCCTATGCCCCTGGAATTTCACTTCCTGTTATAGTCCAACAGGGATGAGTGCTATGTCTTCCAGGGACATGTACTATAATTTTCAAGGTTGCTTTATTTGAAATAGCCAATAACTGGAACCAATCCAAATGTCTATTAATGGAGAATGGACAGATAATCTTTGTTTATTACTATGATTCCATTATTCATATGATGGAATACTACAGTGAATATACTGTAATGAAAATAAATTCCCTACTGCTACATGCAACAACATGGATGACTTTCACAGATACAGTGTTGATGAAAAGCATGCAGATACCAATGTTGCATTCAAAATGATCGGAGACTCGAAGAAAGCATCAGCAGGCAAGATGTATTCAAGATGAACGGAGGGCTACACTGGCATGTAGCATTGATCTCAAGCTCACCATGGCTTTTATCACAATGTTTAACAATTACATTTGCAGAGTATGTGAGTAACTACATTAGCACAAACAATGCATAACAAACAGATTATCTTTAGGTTAATATCTAACCTTTATATGTGCACAAATAATACTAGTCAAGCAGTGACTGGTTCCAATGCCGTTATTATTTAATTTTTAAGTTTTTTTTTTTAATCCTCGCCCGAGGACATTTTTTCATTTTTTGTTTAGATAGAGTGTGGGAGGGAGAGAGAGAGAGAGAAACATCGACGTGAAAGGGACACATCGAGTGGCTGCCACCCACACGACCCAACCAGGGCCGGGGACAAACTGCAACCGAGGTACATGCCCTTAGCGGGAACCGAACTCGGGTCTCTCAGGACCGCAGGCCGACGCTCTAACCGCTGAGCCAAACCGGCCAGGGCTAATTTTTTTTTTTAAATGGGGGAGAGAGTGATTAGAATTATTTTATTTTATTTATTTATTTTTAATCCTCATCCGAGGACATTTTTCCATTTTTTGTACAGACAGAGTGGGAGGGAGAGAGAGAAAGAGAGAGAGAGGGAAACATGGATGTGAAAGGGACACATCGAGTGGCTGCCACCCGCACGACCAACCAGGGCCGGGGACAAACTGCAACCAAGGTACATGCCCTTAGCGGAAACCGAACCCCGGTCTCCCCGGACCGCAGGCAGACGCTCTAACCGCTGAGCCAAACCGGCCAGGGCTAATTTTTAAGTTTTATGGTTTGTTTACTCTGTAGTGGAAACACAATGGGCCTCATGAAGCATTGAGACAGTTTCAAGAATTTGTTTCAGGAACTGCTTGCAGTTCCTTAATCTGCATGTTTCGCTTGTAAGATCACATAGGAAACTCGTCCTTGGCTGTCCTTCAGTTCTTAAGGATCCATCATACCAAAAAGTACATAGTATATAATTTTATTTACCTTAAGGTCAACATGCAAAACTCGTATTTAAGGTGACTAAGGTCAGCCAAATGGTAACCTTGTGTGTGGGGTGGCTCATTGAAGGGAACTTGTGAAGGGTGGAAATGGTCTCTGTTTCATCCTCAGTGGTGATTGCATAAGAGTATTGTATGTAAAAAGCCATAGAATATGTAAAATTTGAGCACTTTACTGCATGTGAAGTCTATATATACATGTTGTTTTGTATATGATATTATTTGCATGTTCTTGTTTATCGTCCGTCTCTCCCCCTAGCAGACACAGGCCCCAGTATGCCTGGCCCTGCAACAGTGTGCAGGAGTTTGAGGAGCCTGCTGTCTGGCAGCCAGAGTTACACCACTTGTGTATCTTGGAGGACCAGGCTGCCAGGCCAGTCTAAACACGTTCTCTGTCCAAGTCTCATTGTCTTGACCCTGCCAGCAACCCCAGGGCAAGACTGTTTCCAGGTTCTCCCTGCAGACAGGTGGTGGCCAGGGCAGTGCATGCTCTGGTCTCCTTCTTCCTAGCTAAAATTGGTCTCTAACTTATGAGTGCATTTGTTTTTAAAAGTTCCACTCATCTGTTTTCACATGTGCACTCAACCTTGTAATATCCTTTAAAAAACAGAAGACAACCACAACTCAAACTGTGTCCTATTCTCTTAGTTTTCATATAGTGTTCTACCTTCCAAGTAGAAGTTGGCAGGCAGGACATATTCTTGTGGAGGTTGTACCACAGGCCACAGATCACAGAGGGACTTCAAAGATCACCTGAGCAACTCTTTCATACCTCAGAGCACATGTGTGTCAGGATCCAGGGTCAGGGCTGGAATCCATGGACCTGGACAGCTGAGGGTCTGCAAGACCCACACTGTGGTCCTGGGGGCAGTCCTCCAGGCTCCTGACTGACCTCCCCCAGACCCATTTCTGATGCCCTCTGCAGCAGCACAGGCAGCTGGTCCCTGAGGACAGCTCTTCCCACTTCACTCCTGTAACCTGTGTGCCCGCCATGCTCCTGGTTACTGTTCTGCTCAATATCAGGGACGTCTAGCTGGCTGGCAGGACATCTCTGGGGCTGCACTTCCATATCCTGCCTCTTTGCAAGGGCTGGTTTTGGATTTTAATAAACAACTTCAAGCATAAATCCAATTAATTTACAGTTGATTATCACTTTTAGACACATGACGTAAGAGCTGGGTCCTCCAAAGTCCCAGAAAGGGAAACACTGAGACCACATCTTTTCTCAGTCCTTGTCCTGGGTGTTCCCATCCTACTGATCGTGTGGTCTGGAAGACACGTGCCATCAGGTATTCTAAGGTCTTGGAGAAGCTTTCAGACTGGCTTGTCTACCAGTGGCAGGTGCTGATTGAACTCCCGATTTGAGGGACACCGCTCTTTGGGCTTAACTGGCAGTTGGAGCCTCCCTGAGCCCTTGGGAACTCTGCAGCCCCGAGGCAAAGCAGAGCGACGCCTGGAGGGGAAAGGAAGTGAGCCGGGCCTTTCTGTTTTTGCGATTCAGATTTGTCTCCCAAGCGCACTGCCCACTCCTCCGCCCGAGCCAAGGTGTGTGCGGGCGAGGACACGCGGAGCTGGCCGGGCACCCAGGCAGCCCAGCCCGGCGCCTGTGGCGTCCTCCCCGATTCCCGAGGCTGCGTGGCGGACACGGACTGTTTCCAATTTGCTGAGGCTGGAGCCCGCCGGAGTCACTGGGTCTCAGGGATAGGGTGCTGTGAGGTGTGGGCGGGCGTAGGGGCGTTGACGAGGGACGAAAAGAAGGGGCTGTGTGCACATTAGGCCCCGCCCCGCCCTTCCTCTCGGCCTGAGCAGAGTTTTTAAGGCCAGCTTGAAAGAGTCTCTTCACTCAGAGAGCGAACACCAGCACCATGGCCATGACTTTGGGTTACTGGGACATCCGAGGGGTGAGAGAGGGGTCCGCCCGGGCGGGTGCGGCCATGCTGAGCAGCCGGGCGGGTTTTATCTGGAGGGTCCTCAGGTCTGGCAGGACCCGGCCCCACCCCGCCGCCTGTCCGCAGGTGGGCGAGGGCGCGGGCCCCTGGCGTTGTCAGTGTGTTGGGGGTGGGTAGTTGGAGCAGAGGGAGCCCCGAGCGGAGCCCCTGGGTCCGTGACCTGTGTCCGCCTTCCCTCCCAGCTGGCACACGCCATCCGCCTGCTCCTGGAGTACACAGACTCCAGCTATGAGGAGAAGAAGTACACGATGGGGGACGGTAATGCCATTCTTGTCGCGTTCCGACTTCGGCCCGACTCCTGCTGATTTGGTACCAAGTACCCGTGCCCTGGCCACCTGTGCTCATCTATGCCGCCCCCCACAGGCTGAGCAGGGCGCTGCCTCTTCCTTACCCTCTGGGGGTGGGCCTTGGCCTTCCAGGCGAGACCAAGACCGAGAGGGGATTGGAGAGGGCATTGCGGACCCCGTGTCTGCAAGTGCGACGGCTTCCCGGAGGGTTTGCCCACACTTGGGAAGCCTTATCCATGTGGGTTCCGGAGACTTTTAAGCGTTCTTTCCCCCACATCTGAATGAGGGACTTAATGCTCAGATTTCAGACTCACCTGTTCAGAGGCCTGGCCACTGACTCCTTGGTAGGATGCGGGGAAAGAGGGCTGGGCTCAAGGGCTGGGGTTTCACTCCATCTTCTCCATCGCAGCTCCCGACTTTGACAGAAGCCAGTGGCTGAGTGAAAAATTCAAGCTGGGCCTGGACTTCCCTAATGTAGGTGCAGGGGATGGGGACAGTGGGTGTAAGTGAACCTGGTCTCTACTCTGAGATCTCCTTTCCCAGCTTTGGTGGGGGTCTCAGGATCTGGAGGCCTCTGCTCAGCCCCTCAGCTTCTTGGTTCTTGTCACTGCTTTTCTCCGACACTCTTTGTTCCAGCTCATTCTTTACTTTCATAGTATATTTGCTTGGTGACTACTGTGTGCCAGACACTGAGAGCCCGGGTGTCATCTCTGCCCCAAATGCAAGGAGGGGTTTCCAGGGAGCCTGTGGCCTACTGACCTGGCCCTATTCCCCTTCCAGCTGCCCTACTTAATTGATGGGGCTCACAGGCTCACCCAGAGCAACGCCATCCTTCGATACATTGCTCGCAAGCACAACCTCTGTGAGTGGGTCTGGGGGTGGGTGCAGGGGCAGGTGGCCTTGCCCCTGGGCTGGCTGAGGTGGGATGCTGACGGAGAGTCTGCTGTGTGGCTGCAGGTGGGGAGACGGAAGAAGAGAAGATTCGCGTGGACATTTTGGAGAATGAGATCATGGACATTCGAATGTACCATATCAGGACCTGCTACAGCCCTGACTATGTGAGTCCCCTCTGGCAAGGCTAGGCTTGATAGATTTTGATAGGACATAGGACTTTTGTGTCCCATCTGCTGGTCCTGTTTGCCATTTGAACTCCTGGGAGCTTCCGATCCTCCAAGCAGGTCTCTATACTATCAGCAGAGTAACACACATAACCCCCAATTGTCTCAAATGAAATCTCTGACTCTGTTCCCACCAACCTTTATATGGAGGTTAGACTCCCAGGGTCTAACAGTATGTTCTGCTTGTTAGCCCTGTACCTCCTCCTTGAAACCCACGGGCATCAGCACATTTTCCTAGGAGGCATTCGGGGTACCCACAGGGCCTCTGTGCCTGTCCCTTCTTCCTTTCAGCCTCTCAGATTCTCCCCGTCTGTCCAGAAAGTGCTCAAGTGTCCATTCGTTCACCCACCAGCTGCATGACCTTCCCTAGAATATTTTAATTCATCACTTCTTCCATTCCACCTGAATTCCGAGGCCAGGCATCTGCCAGGTTCTCACAGCACTCCTGGGTCTGACCCATGGGAGGGTGTTTGGAGATGAGTGGAGACATGTTCAAGGAAAAGGTGGTATTTCTCTGCCTTCCCATTTGTGTGTCACAGATGGGAGGTGGTACCCAGTAGGAGTCTAATGAACAGAGGTTGGATGAAATTATATCCTGGGCACTGACTCAGGTTCCCTTGGGGGCCGTGGCTGCTCATCTGTGGCAGCTGGGGGTCAGGAACAGCCCTGGGAGGCCTGCCTCTCTGCCCAGGGAGTCTGTCTGTAGGTGGTGACAGCTGTTTTGTGCCTCAGGAGAAAGTGAAGCCTGAGTTTTTGAAGGTGCTTCCTGAAAAGATGAAGCTCTTCTCGCAGTTTCTGGGGAAGAGGTCTTGGTTTGCAGGGGACAAGGTAAGGGGAAGGCTTTGGGGTGGGGAGTTGACATGTTTCTAGTTACAGAGTTGGTGCCCATTCATTTTTTGCCTGTCTGCAGCTTACCTATGTGGATTTCCTGGCTTATGACTTACTGGATATAATGCGAATGTTTGAGCCCAAGTGCCTGGATGTGTTCTCAAACCTGAAAGATTTCCTGGTCCGCTTCGAGGTGATTCCACTGACCCTCCCACTATTTCATCCCTTTTGTCTCTCTTTTCTCTCATGTTTTCTAGTCCCGGAGCTAAAATGAAGCTCAACTAGCATTCATTGAGGACTTGCTTAATGCCAGGATCTTTGATCAGCATCTTACCTATGCTGGGTTCTATTTAATCTTTAAAACATTGCTACATGGTAGAAGAGTTTTCACCTCCCTTTTACAGATGATGACATGAGGCTGACAGGGGGAGTCATTTGCTCAAGGTTGCAGAGCGAGTGCAGGCTGTGCTGGGCTCCCAGTCAGCGTTGGCTCCATGGGCAGCAGCCAGTGGCTCCCCCTTTCCTGTGCCAGAAAGAGGAGCTCAGGTCCTTCTCCAGCCTGTGGCCACTGCTCCGGACATTGTGGATGAAGCAGAACATTCAGGAGTTTGTATGTAGCAGAATTAGTAGAGTTGAGCCACGGTAGGAATGATATGAAGCCCGAAGGCACAGACAGTATTAACTCCCTCTCTCCAGACATCTTTCAGAATGGGATCCCTTCTGGGCAGTGCTGAGATTTCTGGGCTGTTGCCGGTGCTGGGATCTGAGAACACATGTCGGTGCCCCGCAGAAGGATTTTATGTTGATGTCTTCTGTGGTGGGCACATCCCTCCCCTGCTCCCTCCCTTTCTTTCTTCCCCGCAGTTATGTTTTATCCAACATACTGTCTCAGAGATGAGGTAGTGCATTTATTTTCAGTCATGTTCACTGGCGTGCCCTTCTCCTCTGTGTGAGGCACTGTGTCAAACACAGAGAGTGTGCAAAGGTGACCCAGCCATGGCACACCCCCTCCTGGGTGTCAGTGCAGCTGGAGAAGTACAGGAGTCCCAGCTGTGTGTACTGCGGTTCCACCTGGGTGGTGGAGGTGCACAGTCTAGACCTCACCTCACAGCTCATCACTAGTCACCCGTGGTCAACTCACAGAGGATCAGTAAAGTTGGCTTCATTACAGATTTGGGAATTTGAGGCATTATTAGTCCAAGAAGTTTTCAGCTTCCCCACTCCCCATCAAGAGAGATCAGCTTTGTCGGCTAGTTTTTGTTTTTTTTTTAATCCTCATCCGAGGACATTTTTCCATTTTTTGTACAGACAGAGTGGGAGGGAGAGAGAGGAAGAGAGAGAGAGGGAAACATCGATGTGAAAGGGACACATCGAGTGGCTGCCACCCGCACGACCAACCAGGGCTGGGGACAAACTGCAACCGAGGTACATGCCCTTAGCGGGAACCGAACCCGGACCTCTCCGGACCGCAGGTGGACGCTCTAACCGCTGAGCCAAACCGGCCAGGGCTTGTTTTTTTTGTGGTACGTGCCCCTGGTGGGAACCGAACCCAGGACTCTCTGGTCCACAGGCCGACGCTCAACCGCTGAGCCAAACTGGCCAGGGCTGTCAGCTAGTTCTTATCTACTCTGGTTCTGGTCCCGGGTGATCAGCCTGGGATATGATGCCAGAGCTGGGATGACTGACTGGCTGGGAGGGATGAGGGACAGCTGTGGGCTGTAGTCTGGCCTGTGGGGGCCAGGCCTTGGTTATAGGCGGTCCCAGGACCTTTGAATCCTGGAGAAGGCCCAGTGAGATTGGGCTCAGGAACCAGGCCAAACAATTGGACTTTCTCCTTTGAGTGGACTCCTTAGGCCCTGGCCTGGCATTCTTGCTCCACATCCCCCTATCAGCTTTCATCCCTGTTTTGCTGAGTCATTGGGTGAGATCTGGCCTCTTGTGCAAGCTGCACAGGCACATTCTGAGCCCCTTTGTTCTCCCTGGGGTCCCTCCTTGGGCAGCCCCTGGGAAGCCAGGAGCCTCCCTCTGAGAAAGGAGACTGTTTGTACAGACTGGGAGGGTCAAGGCCTCCTGTGTGGGAGGGGGGAAGGGGAGTGCAGCAGAAAGAGCACAGATGGGGGAGAGAGCCAGGCTGCCTTCCAGCCCATCCACTAACTAGCAGTGTGACATGAGGAGGGGGCTTCAGCTGTGTGTGCCTCAGTTCCCTTGTGAAAATGGTGGTAGACCAACCTGTTTTGTAGGCAGTGGTGCGGAGGCTGTAAACCTGTATCCTGGTCTCTAATGGATATAAAGCACCTAGCACAGTGTAGGGTGTCATGTGGTAACTTACTGAGCTATCACACCAGTTGCAGGGAATTGTAAGAGTTAACTTACAGAGCTGGGCACCCCTGGAAGACTGTCTTATGCCCCCACAGTTGACCCCACAAGGAAGTGTTGCCTGGATCCTGAACTTGGCGTGTCTGAAGTGGGGCTGTGTGAGCCCAGTTGTGCAGCAGACTTGAGATCTGGTCTTCTTTTTGCACCCTCAGGGCCTGAAGAAGATCTCTGCCTACATGAAGTCCAGCCGCTCCCTCCCCACTCCTGTGTACTCCAAGATGGCCATGTGGGGCAACAAGTAGGGGCTGTGAGTGCAGGAGGTGGAGCGAGGAGCACTCTGGGCCGGTTCTGCATTCCTACACCTGTCAGCTTTGCTTCTTTTCCCTCCCTTCTCTCCCCTTCCTGCCCCGACTAGATGCCTTCTTAGTCCCTCTTCCAGCCTTCTTCCATCCAGCCCTCTAAGCTGCAGCTCCCACTTTTCCTCAGTGATGTTCCTACCCTGGCCCACGCTGACCCTCCTGTAGTAAAGCCAACCAGACCGACGTTCCCCTCACCGATGGCGCTGCTTTGAGGAGACCAACCGGACGCCTGGCCCGAGGAGCTCAGCCCTGCCTCCCACCACTGCCCTGAAGCCGAGCGTTGCTTGGGTGTGCAGGCCCTGCTCCCCAGAGTGGTTCCTGCCCAGCCCTGCCTGATTGATCCCCAGTAAAGCCGAATCACACCTGCTTGGCTTGTAATTCCTTCTTGGCCACCGGACTCACAACGGTCTGCGTTGGGGTTGGGAGTGTCCATTTTCTCTGTTGTACACAGTGGCTGGGCTGTGGGGATGTCTGTGTGGGGTGTGGCAGGGAGGGGACAGGTAGGATTATAAGGTTTCTGACTCATTTCTATCTCCATGTTCCGTGTGCCTCAGCCTGGGGTCTCTGCTGAAGAGGGGGCCTCCTGTGCCTGGGTCCCTCCTTAATTTCAGCATTTGGAGAATGCCGCCCGTAAGCTTGTAGTTCTCTCGTGGTTCAGGGAGTTCTCAGGGTGGGGGAGGGGTATGGCGTCCTAGCAGCCTACCTTTCCCAGAATGTTCTGTGCTGTAGACACCCTTCCTCTGCTCTTACAACGTATCTCAGTAAAACACAGCCCACTAGTCCTGGCCGGTTTGGCTCAGCAGTTAGAGCGTCGGCCTGCGGTCCAGAGAGGCCCTGTTCAGTTCCCGCTAAGGGCACATACCGCGGTTGCAGTTTGTCCCCGGCCCTGGTTGGGTTGGTGTGGGAGGCAGCCACTCGGTGTGTCTCTTTCACGTTGATGTTTCTCTCTCTCTCTCCCCCCAACTCTATCTGAACAAAAAATGGAAAAATGTCCTCTGGTAAGGATAAAAAAAAAACACCCCACTATATTATAATGGTCATTTGACTTGCTTTCCTCTCCAGCTCTATCAGAAATTCATTGAGGAGAGAATCCATGTTTATTGGACCTGAAACTTTATTTACCAACAGTTGGAAATTTGAATTATATCTAGTAAGACTCTGGCAAGCTCTACAACCATTCTTGGGACTCAGGATTTCTGGATATAGTTTGTCTCAGCCACCAGAGATACAAAATAAAGCTCAGAAGATTTTACATGTACAGGTCTGGGAGAATGAGCTATTAGCTCTTTCTAACTTAAGCATTAAATAGGCTTTAGCTGTTCTGTGAATAACTGAACCTGACCTCAGCAGGCCTAGTGTGCTGGGCCAGATGCCAGCCAACCTGTGGTCAGAAGGTAGTGTGGGCATTGATAGTAGGACACCTTCAAAGGTGTAGGATTCCTGGGATAGCCGTCGGACGAGCATGGTCCTTAAGCAGTGGCTGGGTAGCAGAGTTGGACCTTATTAAGGCACAGTCTTGAGACTTGGCTCATAGCAGGAGACTTGAAGAAAAGTCTTCTAGGGCATTTGTCCAGATGATCTCTGCAACTATACTTGCAGTTATTAAAAAGGGAGCCATGGGAATAATGTTAAAAATTATGAAGAAAAAATGATTAAAGTTAGAGCTGGTAAGATAAAAGTTCAGCAAAGCTAATCAAAGTTTATGAAACATAAAAGTTAGTTATGCCAGAAGCTTATTAGACTTTAACTGAAAGATAGGAGAGGTAAGGGTTAAAAAAGGGAAGTAATAGAAATTAGGGGTGACACTATAAAAGATAAGCAGAGATAATAAAAATATTAAGTCAGAGTAAAATAGAACAGGCTGGCAAATGTTCTCTGTAGAGGTCTAGATAGTAAATACTTTTCGCTTTTGGGTCATGCGGTCTCTGTGAAAATCGACATAGACAATACATAGATGAATGGGTGGGTTGTATTCCAACAGAACTAAAAACACAGATGGCCCATGCTTCCCGACTCCTGATCTGGAAGCTCAGGTTAAAAGGGCATAGCTATATTAAAGCCTAAATATTATATTTGAAATGTAATAGTTCATTATTAAAGAAAAAAAAGGACAAAAGAACTCAATCCTTAAAAAGGAGAAAAGCCTGGCCCGGTTGTGGCTCAGTGGATTAAGCGTGGTCCCGTGGACCGAGGTTCCAGTTCGATTCCTGGTCAGGGCACATGTCTGCACTGCAGGCTTGATCCCCAGTGGGGGTTGTGCAGGAGGCAGCTGACGGGTGTCTCTTTCACACATTGATGTTTCTATCCTCTCTCTCCCTTTCTAAAAAATCAGTAAAAACACATTAAAAAAAAAAGGGAGGGAAGATGTGATAACAAAGACAGTCACAAATGAAAATAATTTTCTAAACATTGTGGTCAAAATTATAAAAGCTAAATATTTTAAAGAGTGAGGCAGAAATAGTAGAATGTATGTACTTCAAGCTCTTGGGGGTGGTGGGAACAGCACCAGGCATTAGAAGGGCGGAGTCAGACCAGACCTAGGTGCAGCAACTGTGGTACTTGAGTTTGGCTAGGAAAGATTCAGAGTCCAGACTTAAACTATAAGAGAACATTTACTTATAACATCGCAGAGCTGGAAGAAGTAATTTGTAGAAGAAATGGGCTTAGGAAACAAATTACAGAGGCAAAGGAAGGGCCGTTGGAGCTTAGAAGTGAGGAAGGTAAAGGTGACACAGCTGGGGGAAGAGGGAGGGGAGGAGGAGGGGGAAAGCATGAGGCATGTGCCCATGCTCCCAGGAGGGAGAACACAGGGGTTCTTGGTCCGAAGGGTTTTAAGGGTGGAGAGTTTCGGGGAGGTCCTAGGGGAATATCTCAATAGCCTGTTCAGCTTTTCAAGTGTCCTTTCAGGGTCTAGATCACCACTGATTGATTGGTCAGCATCAGGGCAGGGGGTCATCCAATGCAGCTGGTCCTGAGGTCAGCTTGGGGTCATTTGTCTGGTTTTGCTGCTTTTCTTGGCCTGGGCCTGAGATACAACTGAAGCCTAGATGTTATCTCTAGGGAGGAAAGGTCAGGGGTCCAAACCGCATAACCAACGCTATGCTAGGGGAGAAAAGGTCACCCTGGGGGCGAGGTCCCACCCTACATTTGTCGTTTACTGGCATCCGGGGCTTTTCACTTTGGTGCCCTCTGTACCTGGCCCGTAGTCCTTGCTCTGCTCACATCTAGCTGCCTACCACAAAACAGGCAACCAAACATTTGATTGTGGTAGATCCAGCAGAGGCCCCAAGACCTGGGATTCTTTGCTGCCTTGTGACAGTGCTTGGACATTGTTCAGGGTATATCTGCCCCTTCTAGAATGGGAACACAGGACACACTGAGAACACAGCATTGGTGTCCCCTGCAGAGGTCTTTAATCACCTGTTAATTACAAGTTCCCTGCCCAGTGTTCCTCCATTATTATTGTATTAGCAGAGAAAAGCAAAGCTGATAGAGGCCCCAGGATAGCAACTTATAGAAAATAGAAGTTTATTCTTTCATGCTCCATGGGGAATAGTCCAGGCTATTGGGGCAGCCCTGCTCCATGAAGTTATTTGGGGACTAAGGCCCCTTCCTTCCTGTGATTCTGACATCCCCAGGGTGCTTCCTCATCTCCTTGGTTAAAGCAATGTCAGGATGGGGGAGGGGGAATCAGTGGAAGAAAAGGAGAAACATCTGTAACAAAAACAAAACAAAACAAGAAAAACTACGTCAGAGTATGGGAAGAAAAATAGAGAAAACCCAGGGAAACAACTTCCCACTCTGCAAGCCAGGCTGAAGTTGTATATGTCACAGTTGTTCACATTCTACTTGTGAGGTTCAGATGTGCGACTCTACCTAGATACAGGGGTAGACCATATTTCTGTTGTAACCCAGGAGAATCAACCTCAGTCAGACACAAAGTAATTTTGAATATTAGGAGCTTTATTACCTGCACAGGGACTGCAGCCCCCAGCAGACTTTCAGCCCTTTTATAATTAGGGCTAAACAAGCACTAATTAGTACAGAGAGTTAGCCAAGTGTAGTACATATGTTCTTAAAAAGGAAGCTTCAGTTTCTTATTTACAGCTGAAGACTTTTCAAATTCCCAGTGGAGGTCAAACTCCGGTTAATTTCTCACAGGGCTAAAGCTGCCTATAACATTCCCCACTGGTCTTATGTACAGATCAAATATTTGATTCCTGTTGTTCATCTAATGGCAATGAGAGGCTAGGACTAATAATTTGACAGATTGGACTCTCTCTCATGAAAATTATTAAAGGTAGCCAGGGGGACCAGTTATAGCTAAGAACCTGAATACTCTCTCTGATGACTCCTGATCTATTAGCATAAAAACAGCAAGACAGCAGTTGGAGTAGATAGGATAACTAAATATGGTCCGTCCCACTGGGGTTCAAGGTTCTCAGGGTGGTGTCTCTTCAGCCAAACCCAGTCCCCTGGGTTGTACTTCTGAGTGGGGGATGGCAGAGGCTGTCCTTCAGGTCGTTGAAGGAGCTGTCGAGTCTCGTCTCAAAGGAGTTGAATAGCCTGTAAGGACTTTAAGAGATCTCGGTTATGAAATTCAACAAGCTGTTCAGAACTAAGCTTAGGTAAAACGGGAGGGGTTCACCCAAACAATTTCAAAGAGGGTGAGTTTCCTTAGATAAGGTAAGCAAGGGGTGCGCAATAGTGCAAAGGGCAAGAGACTTACCCAATTTTTGCCTGTCTCTAAGTGTAGCTTAGTTAATGTTTCCTTTACAGTCCTATTCATCCTTTCTACTTGTCCTGAACTCTGAGGCCTGTAAATACAGTGTAATTTCCAATCTCTTAGGTGTTTGCTAGTAATTGAGATATTTTGGCAATGAATGCCAGACCACTGTCGGACCCCAGTGCTAAGGGAAGGCCAAATCGAGGGATGATCCCAGAGATGCCTGATGACGATATGAGCCGATTCCCCTTTTGTGGGGAATGCTTCAGTCTATCAATAAAGACAAGTAGATATTTGTAGTTAAATTTTCCTGGTGTCATGTCGGTGAAGTCTAATTCCCAATGTTCTCCAGGCTCGCGTTCACGGGTTCCCGAGGCTGGGGGTACGGGTGGGCCTGCGTTTACAGTTTGGCCAGCCAGAAGCGACAGGATCAGGTCTATAGGCCACTGGCCTTTTCCATGGCCCTCGGGTTTGGGTTAGGACTCCCTTTGCAATTCCTTGTTTCAGCTACAAAGAGCTGGAAAAGCTGGGTAATGTCTGGCAAGGCTAGGGCTGGAGCGGAGGTTAGGGCCCTTTTGAGTTCCTCAAATGCCTTTTGTTCTGTTCAGAGCCCTTTCCCCTAGTGCTGGAATATA